AGGTTCTCCACCGTGTTGCTGAGGCGGTATTTGACGATGATGCTGTGCACGGTGGACTTGGGCATCCTCAGCTCCTGCCCGATGGCCCCCTCCGACTTGCCGTCCTTCCAGAGGTCCACCACGCGCTGCCGCTGCCCCACGTCGTGCTCCTTGGTCTTCTGGCACGCAGCTCCCCCGGCGGCCCCAGCAGCGGCTTCTGTGGGGGCAGACAAGCGGCAGACTGTAGTGGAGACTCGGAGAGGGGGTGAGCAGGAAAATGTCACACTTTGCTCGTCCCCGTAGGGAATTCTCTTTTAGTCTGGCAGGGGGTGTCACTGTCCTGCTCAAGGACACTTCAGCAGGGCGGGTGCTCCACTTGAAGGGCCCTAATTTCTACGCCCCCTAATGATGCCTAGTATGTGGGACTCCTTTGATGAGAAGCTTCCTCCTGAAACAAGTGTTCCAAACAATGCAGTTCAAGATATATCGTGTGAGAAAGCACATGGAGCATTTGGTGTATCATTACATTTTTGTAGTTCACAGAGTGCAGCTAAAGTCGTGCCATGGCAGACATGCATATTTCTGGATATGTTTTGTGTACTCAAGCGAGGGAGCTTCTCTCAGGAGACGGCTATTAACGGAGGGAAGCTTGGAGGTCGCAGAATCAGAGAATTGTGTTGTTTTAACTCTCTGGCTCACTTTCTTTCCCTCCCCAGCTGAGGTCAGGAACCAGCGCGACCCCAATCAGAACCATACATGTGGCCTCATGTGCGTGCTTGTGCCCTGCCAGAGTTCAGGGTGTTCAAACTGCACTGCGAGGCCCCCACAAAGCCAAACTCTTGCGCGGGACTATTTCTGAACATCCAGCGCCGGGGCCCAGCCCTCCCGCCGCTCCACGAGTCACAACACGACGTTTACACAACCAAATGCCTTCTGCGGTTTCTGTTCCTCTCAAAATACCTCGGTACAAAGTCCGAAATGTTTTCTTGGCATGGCCAGACACAGAGCATAATGACATTTTCAGAGATAGGCCCTGGCTCTCTAAAATGCAATGCCTTTGACAGATGTCTCGGTCTACAATTACATAAATCAAGATTCCTCTGAGTGAGAGGCAGAGAGCGCTGGGTGTTGTGGTTTCTTTAGGCCAAAGCTATTGGGGAATATCGGGTTTTACCAGTTATCTTTGCCACATCGCCGCAATCTAAACATCCCCGAACACGAACACACATGCAGTGCGTCTGGCGAGCATATGCCGTTACCAAACTCATTACGAGGAAATAAATTCACAGGCTTCCTTTGACACACAGCAGACGAGGAGAGGAGAGTTGGACAAGACAGAACAAATTCTTTCTTTTTCTACACAATAACTAATCAGAGCCACAATGAAGGGAAAAAAATAAACACGGAGAAGCAAACACAGACAGGTTTGATAGCGAGCCAGACTGCGTTTTTCACTGTTGCACAATGTGTCGTTACTGCTGAGTCTGGAGGTTTTTGAGGTGGGACATGTTAAGAGATGAAAATGCCTTAATATAGCAGTCAGCACGTTCCTGTTTGATTTTGGTAATGTCTATTTCAGGTGTCTATCTGGCGGCCACATCAGAAGCTGCAGATGTGTTTTTCCAATATGGACCCCTTTGTGGCAGCTTTCGCAACCTAAGCTACGCGGGGAGATAAAGTGTCGACTCAAAGTGCTTAAAGCGGTCTCGCTTTAGAATCCATCAGGTAGTGCTTATTCCTCACATATTAGAGGATTAGACTGAAATCTAAGAGTTCAACAGCGCTCCATCACAACACGTTTGCTCGCAGGAATTTTCCTGAAATTCCCAGAAGAAGTCATTTTGATTCTGAATGTTTTTCCACAACAACATAACCATATAAAGATGCAATTCCTCAGATGAGATCTTTAAATAGAAGACACATTGTGAACTGCCCATCATCGAGAGACTGAAACAACTGTGATTACTGAGCTTGTGCTGCTTGTGTTTTCTCACACAGATTACTGATTATAGAGTAAAACAAATTGAGGAATTGCTCAGTCACTGTGTTCTTTGTTCGGAAAGAATGTGTGTGCAGACCTCCTTGCTGAAATCCTTTCTCTTTAATACAAAGTGAAATTCAAGCAGCACTAAACTTATTTATTATTTCACTTTCACAAAATGGTGAGACCTGCAAACAAAGCAATACAAACAAATCAAAGCAGCACAGGCCAAATATATTCCTGTCTTTAGGTACTTAGTATGGTTCAAGCTCGAGAGACACTAGATCCTACATTTCCCATAATGCCACCGAGGCTTTTGTCCGACCCTCCTCACCTCCATCTGTCCAACTCCATGTTCCTACTTTGTAACGCAGGCTTTACGTTATTAACCAGTTATCTCCAAGCCCAAGCAGAGAGCACCCTGATGACATCACTATAGGCGCATTCACACCGCAGTACTTTTCCCACAAAGGTTCATGAGAACTTAGTTCATGAGAACTCTTTAGTTCGCATGAACTAAGTACAGATCGCGTTCACACCAGAATAAGTCCCTGGGGTGGCTTAGGCAAATGAAGCCGCTGACGTCACTTCTTCTTCTTCTGCTTTGGGTTTACTGGCAGGCCGCAAACCACTTCACGGCGTATACTGCCGCCCAAAGTCCCCGGAGTTGGGGACTGGCTTCAGTAGAAGCTGCTGGGACTCCCAGCAGCTTCTACTGAAGCCTTCCGAGTAAATCGCCAGAACGCCGACACCTCCTCATCTCCACCGCTCCCATGTTTTATTTTGTGTTGCCATAAGTTAGTCTCTCTGCGTTTCTGCGCTGGGCTAATGCTAATGCTAATGCGAGGATAATAAAATGGCGGCTTCACAAAACTTTTTGGGAGTTTTACGGGGCGTGGGTTTTCAATCCGCCCAGCCAATCAGACATAGGAACCTTTTACTCCCACGAAAGTCCCTGCTCTCTAGCAGGGACTGAAAAGGGGGTAAAAAGGTTCTCATGAACTAATTTTAGTTCCGGCTCTTTTTGGTGTGAACGCGACAAAAGAGTTCTCATGAACTAAGTTCTCATGAACCTTTGTGGGAAAAGTACTGCGGTGTGAATGCGCCTTATGACATCAGAGGGGTTATTTTCTCCTCTAGAGCCACAGAGGTCATTTCACAACAGTTTACAGAGGCTGAAATGTACTCTACACTACGAGGTAACACTATCTTATGTGTGAAATTGGTGGAAGTCGTTTCCTGTCCAAATCTTCCCATAATGATCTTCTATCACCAAGTATGAAAAGGCAATTATTTACCTCCGCAAGGAAGCATAAATCAGGTTTACACTGCAGACAGATCAAAAGCACAGTTATTCTTGTGTGAATTATATTGAATACTATAATTATTGTTTTGATTGACTGGGACAGGTCCACCCCTCTCGCTCTCACACCCACACCCAGAGCACCTGCATGTGCAGACTTCAACTCTCTCTTTACCGACCCCTTAAGCAATTTCAAAAACACTTTTCCACACACCGAGAGAGATATCATCGAGATATCAAACCCAAAATGCTGCACCTTTATATAGAATTACAAATACAATCTAGGTTTTTTATGCCATTGTTTCAAATATATCTACCTGCAATTCGGTCTTACAAATTACATTACATTACATGTCACTTGTTAGAGGCTTTTATCCAAAGCGACTTACATACTCGATACTGTGGGCAATCCCCACAGGAGCAATTTGGGGTGAGGTGTCTTGCACACAACGACATGCTGACTGCAGTGGATTTGAACCTGTGACCCCCTGATCCGAACACCAAGGCACACACCTCCCACATATTTGATAGTTTGACCAACTTTGAGATCCTTACTATTCTGTTTTTTTTTGTTTTAACCTGGACTCCCCATGTTTTCGAGTCTAATGGCGCGTTTCCACTGCAGCGGGTAGCTCGCTTTAAGCGTGCCGAGCCGTGCGGGGCCCGTTTTTGGTTGCGTTTCCACTTGGCCTAGTTTTGGCCCGGAGCTACTTTTTCACCTTTTTTCTGGCCCGACTAAATCGTGGTTCTAGGGCCAGGAACAACCAGGCTGAGTCGGGCTGAGTATGCTAAACTAGAGAGAGAATCGCTGGCAAGGGGGCTACAACTACAACAAGATGAACATATTTGACCGTGATTTAATTGTAATACACCTTTCAAAATGATGCCGAAGTAACAACATACTGATACCGGTTAGTAAAAACCATGAATTAATGCTTTGACAAGTCTGCAGACAGACGGCAGGCGAAAAACCCTTTTAAAATGCGTGCTTTCTAAATGGAGCTTGGCTAAGCTAACGTTATATATGCTCCGACCGTCCACACTCACAACAACGGCCTATACAGACATAAATAAACCAGCGACTGTATTCGCCATGACACAGGCAGTCTGTGGTTTGTACTTGTTTAACTTTTGTCTAGTTTCTGAACAGATATGAGGAGCTGTGTGAGCTCTGAGTGCTAAGAGCTAACGGCTGTGTTGTTTTTCTGGGTCTCTCATTGAAGATGACGTCACGGCTCCGCCTACACTGCGTTACTATAGTAACTGCCCCAGTTCCTAAACTGTAATGGAAGCGCAGCATTAAAGTGAGCCGGGCCTAATAAGGCCTAACCAAACCGAGCGAGGCCGAGTGAGGCCGAGCGAGGCCTGCAGTGGAAACGCGCCATAACTGGGACAAAGGGTATGAAATTGGTCCAGTATTGAGCAAGAGGGCTACTATTCAACCTATTGCGAGACGCTACACTGTCAATGGACGTCCACATTAACTATATGACCCTGTCAACAGCAAAAACACTGGAAAAAGTTTAAAAAATGTATGATGCACAATGGCCCCAATAGGCATAAATTACAGACCTCTTGACAGCACTCTTGCTCAATAAAGGACCGATTTAAAAAAAGATTGCACTCATTAGTCACTTCGAAAAACACAGGAAAACAGGGTCAAAGTGGAAAAATAAGTCATTCTCAACGTTTGTGATAGAGAAAAAATGGGATGTGAATGGAGCTTTAAAAACGTACCTGATATGAAGGATCCGGGCGACATCTGACTGTAGTTGGCCCCTCCCATGTGGAGGGCGCTCGGGGGGGCGGGGGTGAAGGGGGCTCCGTAGTTGTGAGGGGTTGCGTAGGGTCCCGGGGGAATGGGCTGCACAGAGGAAGAGAGGATGTGATTTACATAAACAGAGGATATAAGATAAATAAGACAAATCACTTTTAGATGATGTAAGCCGACACGTAAATCTGCTGACTCAACACGTTGAGGTCCACAGGTGGGTGACAGGATAATGGGCTCTCTGTGTTTTCATTGGCCGGCCTCCATTTGGATTTTTCCCACTGAATGAAGGCAGGTTTTAACGTGTGAGTGTGGCTGAGGTTTTTAATGGGTGTGGTTAAGAACAGTCATTAAAGAAATACTCATATTTAAACTTAATAAGAAGTAGCAACACCAAAGTAACTAATGTAAAATTGCATAAAATCCCATTTCAGAATCTTATATATCTATTAATTACTGGATCATAATTTGTATGCATTATTGTGTTCACTCTTTGTTTTCCGAATGCCAGGAAGTATTCTCGCTTCTGAAGCAAGTGACTCGGAAGACATGTGCTACCAAGCAAGCGTCCTCGACATTGAGAAACACCCAGTGTGTGTGTGTGTGTGTGTGTGTGTGTGTGTGTGTGTGTGTGTGTGTGTGTGTGTGTTGTGTGTGTGTGTGTGTGTGTGTGTGTGTGTGTGTGTGTGTGTGTGTGTGTGTGTGAGTAGCCTGCTGCTGACTGGGGGTGTGTGTGTGTGTGTGTGTGTGTGTTAGTAGCCTGCTGCTGACCGGGTGGGTGAGTGTCTCGGTGCCCTTGCTGGCCAGCCGGCTGAGGATGCTCCTCTCGGACATCTGCAGGCGGGCGGCGATGGGCGGGACCCTGCAGAGCGAGGCGGGGAGGCGGGTCACGTCGGCCTTCATGTCACTCAGCAGCTCCTCCAGCTGGTTCAACACTGCTGGGACACAAACAAACACCTCCGATCAACAATTTCACCTTTTAGCTCCTACTTCCTGCTTGTTTTGCACCCTATCATTAATCATTTGGTACTTTATTTGATACAGACACCTTGTACAATAAAATGTGTTCAGGCATATTATAAATAAACATTGATTGATTGATTGATTATCAGCCTTCGTAAAAAGCAAGTGTTTACCTTATTCATCTTTATACATAGGCTACAATAGCATCTGTTGTTTGACTATTCATTTACACCTCTCATTCAACATTTTGTACGTAATTCTGATACCTTGATTGTCTTCCTAGGTTTACCATTAGTTATATTGTTATTGACTGGGTCTGGATGCTATAAATAGACTGTAAATGTCTCATCTTAAAAAAGGTATAATGAACATTTTCCCTTCACATAAGGTTCTGTTCCTGTCCTTTATGATCCTGTCACTCTGTCATCACATCCCTACATGGAATTAACTACCGATCCATTTGATAAATAGGTTTATAAGCGCCGTAACGTGCAGGTACACAAGAGCAGAAGTGCACTGAGCGTGTTATCCTTTCAACAGGAACGATATATACAAGGACAGACTTGCCAGAGAGGCAGTGAGGAAATATTTGGAGCTATCACATAACAGCGTGTAAGTTTATCTGCTTGGCTTTACCGAAGCAGGAAGGAACAAAGATTGCACCACAGTTTGTCAGATATGTTGATCTATTTTATGATACACTTGTGATTATCTTAACTTCAGTCACATGCTTTTATCCCATGGCAATACCAATGTTGAGGTATAATGTTGTATAATATTTTTATCATTTCTATGCTATGACGTTTGTATTTTGTCTTTGCTTTTGTTTGCTTTGCCCTTTCAGGCATTTCTTGTGATTTGGGGCCATTTTGATTTGATTTGATTTGTTAGCCAATCTCTCCCAGCCCAAATGTGTTTGGTTACATACAGATATAAAAAAGCAACTTCCTGACCTTTGTGCAGCACGGCGTTGGCCGGCTTGTTTCCTGCCAGCGACTCCTTGCTGAGGTGCTGGTGGGACTCGGCCAGGCACTCCACCTCTGTGAAGCGGGCATTGAGCGCCATGGCGGGGTGGGAGGGGTCCTGCGTCATGTTCAGGTACGCCGCCCGCCGCAGCTGCTCCTCGATCACCAGCGCCTGCTCCAACAGCTGCACGACAACGGGGGCAGATCATGAGGGAAATGGGGTTTCTTTGTGTGTCAAATTAGACTCAAATCACCCATTTTATCTACCAAAAATGTTGTCTGATTTAATTGTATTAAGCATACTAATAAGTGCATGTAATGGAGTCATAGGAGTGTTGTAAAAAATATATATAAAATAATAAATATATGGAATAAAGAGAGAAATAAATACAAGAAAAAATTAATATAAAAATATTATATTTATCTATTTTATAAAAAAAGAATAGGAAAATAAATGTGAAAAAAGGACATAAAATAATAAATAAGTAAATATAATATATGGAATAAAGAGAGAAATAAATAAAATAAATAATCAATATGAAAATATAAAATTATTATTATCTATTTTATTTATTTCGGTATATCTCAAAAATATATATCTGTGTATTGCATACAATGTACTTAATTTGTATTATTTGTATATGTTATTTATTTATTTTTATAAAACGGACAAGTCAAATAAAGCAATCTGATTGGTTCTTAGCCGTGATATAATGAGTGTATTCACGGGTAGAATTGTAGTTACTAGTTACTAGTTGCTAAGGGGGTTGTCGACCCTCCGCTTCAAGTCGGGCCGAACCACGCCCCTTATCTGTGATATAATATACCATATACCACGGCCTATCGTGAGCTATTGCTTAAAGTGGACCTATCATGCTATATTTGAAACATATATTGTAGGGCCATACCTATATAAAACATGTCTGTGAAGTTTTTTTTTCAAAATACCAAACCATGCATTTTAGCCATGCCTCATTTCGCTCTATTTGCTCTTTTCCAGCGCTGTTTTTGCAAGGGCTGATTCTGCTTTAGTGTTAGACTACAGCGCCACTTACAGGCCTGGCATATGTACTACAGCGTCTCCAGCGCTTTCGAGCGGTCTCTCATTCCCCTGAGGTGGAGAGTTGCCCATATAGGCGGAGCACCCCTTTTCTGACGTCAGGAAAATTCAAATAATAATCAGCTCCGTTGCAGCCCCGTTTTTAGTGATTTGGGTATGGAGGAAAAGAGAGAGGGTTGTGTTTTCTGACACTTGGTGAGTTCCCTGACACACCGGGGACACATATTCATGTATACAAGACGTACAAAAGTGCATTTTGCCTGATAGGTCCCCTTTAAATATCCTCTATTCCTTGAAAGGCCGAGCTGTTGACCTCTTTGTGTTTCTGTGTTTCCTTGTCGGCATGGAAACAGTAATTCTAGTATTTTGAAATCAAGCTCCGACCAGTGATTCAGATTTGTCCGGCACAAAAAGAGGTCATTTGCTGAAAATGTGTTGCACAAGAAGGGTAAAGGCTAAAAACATACTAATGGTAAATATCTATTTTAATTTTTGCGCTATCTGGATTGCACACAAAAAAAGCTGCAAATATTTAGAAGAGAGAGAGATGAAATACATGTTGAAATAAATAAGAAATAAGTAAATAAGAAATATGGTTTACAGAGAGAAATACATAAAAGAATGAATACATTTGGAAATATAAAGACAAAAATGTATATTTATTTATTCAGTTATTTCTATATCTGTTTTTAAATACACCCGATTTTATATATTTCATGGATTTTTTCTGTATATTTGTTTATTTTTGTATAATGAAATGAGCAAAATAAGTGTTTAAAGGTGTTACACAACAAGGTTAAAGGCTTAACACCTTCTAAGAGGAAATCAGTTTTTTATTTAGTGCTCTTTTATGCCATCATGATGACAGATTTACAACGAAAACTACTATTATTTAGCAAGAGATAACGGAGAATGTGAAAGAGACGGAGATACAGTAAATGAGGATGTTGCGGCAGGATCTGAAGCATGTGAGCGGCTCAAAAACAGGATGAGGGCTCTTCCAGAAATGCAGCGGTCAGCCAGTATGTGGGTGTCGGGGCATCGGTCAGGTGATGGAAGACACTGTGAAATGTGACTGAAATAGTTCCTGTCTGGTATTGAAATCTGTTATGTCATGTAGGTTTGCTTCAAACTGCTTTGTATGGACGTAATCGTTTAATAATTTGAGCTTGTTTTAAAGGTGCCCTGTTAAGTTCAGGTTTCATATTTGTATGTAGTGTCTCTACTGGGACATGTCTCCATGCTTTAATGTTCAAAAAGCTCTTTATTTTTCTCATACTGCCTGTGCTGCAGCACCTCTTTTCACCCTCTGTCTGAAACCAGAGCCCAGTCTGCTCTGATTGGTTAGCTGGAGCTAGGTCTCGTCTCACCTTGAAGCGTCGAGCCAGGAACTTGTTCTTCATCTCCAGGAAGTTGCCTTTATTCGCCTGCGACTTGAAAGGCTCGTTGACGATGGCGAACTGCGGGTCGTTCTGGATGTCCTGCCACCGGGCGTAGCCGTGACTGACACCAGGGTCAAGGGTCACGTAACACTTTTGGGTAGGAGACAGTGTATCCAACATCATAAAAGGGAATCACAGGGAAGCTAAGTACTAAACATTTTGTAGCTATTATCCTTAGACTGGAAAAGCTGTGACCCATATTAGAATTCATAATTAGATGAAAAATAAATCTGTGCCTATAGTATAGAGCTAAGAGAAGCTTAGCATGGCCATTAGCATAAACACTAGCATATAGCAAGGGAAAATACCTAGCTTAGCGCTGTCCAAAGTAACAAAATATGCCTACTGACTTAATCGATTAACATTTGTATTTTCTTCTTTGTATTCGTACATAACAATACATTTAAAGACGATTTTTTTTTACTATTCTTAATTGTTTTTTAAAGTCTTTTACGTAGAATTGCGTGCTAACTACAACACGTTAATCAATCTCTCCAGAACTTTCCACAAAATGTCCTTTTTCCATGTTTGCATCTTTGAATGGATCAAACAAATGGGGCACTAAATGTTAATTAGACACTAAATATACTTGGGAGGCTAATCATTTTAAGTTGCTAGCTACTGTTAGCTGTTTGTACATGCAAACAATGCATCCTTCATTCAAAGGTAAGTAAAATATATAAGGTATCTGACCCTATAGAAATAACATGTTGTGCCCAAAATAATACAAATGTGCAGTTGTTTTAGCACAAAAAAGGTTTCACGCAGCTTCTGATACACACATTTCCTCTCCCCTGTTACTTCAGACTAAATGGACCTCATGATTATCTTGCAGAATGGTGCAAACACCGTTTACATTAATGCTGCATGGCCTTAATTACCATAATAGAGGGAGCAACATGAACTAAATGACCGACTGCAGTGGCTTCCAGCACACAGCTTGCTGTTTACCCAGCTCTGGCCTGCTTGTTGACTTATTACGCTGGGCTTCGGCAGGCTTATAGGAAAATAAACATAGCGGGGTCATCGCTCGGGCAACCGCCGTCAAGGATACATCACGATTCCCGCCAGCAGCCAGAAGTCGTGTCGGCGGTGCCAGATCTCGTTCATCTTCCCCGAGGAGATGGCGGCGCGCTCCTCGTTCTGCCAGAGAGTGTGCAGCTCTGCGGAGAGAAGCTAAACATGACTCAAAGTGCTAAGCCGGCTGAAACCTGGCTGCAGGTGTTTCCACGGGACACGGAGCTTTTCTGGGTTTGTGATCAAGGCCGGGAGATGGTTCTGGCTTTCGTACAGAAGCGGGAGAAAGCAACGGGAATGTTTTCTTTGCTTTAGTCGAGGCTTTATGTTGTTTAGACTGCCTAGACGCTTGTTTGGACATGTTATTAAGTTATTGTTACCTTTTCACCTTTCTGTCCTCGGCTTCAGGCGCTCTGTAGTGTGTTTACTTGAGAAAAACAAATCTTATTAATTTAACTGTATACATTACATGGGTGATTGGCACGATACATACAGGTACTTCTATGTCTATTAAACAGGGATACAGAAATTGCTTAAAATAGTGAAGTGAAAGTACAATTGCACTAGTAAGATCTTTGAAATGTGCCAATATTGTTGTGATCCGAGGTCTTCATACTTGTATTCTACAAAAACATTTTGTTTGACTCATTATGAAGTATAGCAGTGCTTTTACTGAATTGTTCTAGCCTTCACTTACAGAAAAATACAGATAGAAAAAGCCTGTCCTGAAAAACACAACTCCCTACCCCGGTGTCATCATTGCTACATTAGCAAGAAGCTATTATTGAATTCTTGTCATATCCGAGTTACATTACATTACATTGCATTTAGCTGACGCTTTTATCCAAAGCGACTTACAATAAGTGCGTTCGACCAACAAAATACAAACTTGAAGAAAACAGAATCATATAAGTACATCAGGTTTCATAGAGCAAAAACATTTCAAGTGCTACTCAACTGGCTTTAGATAAGCCAGCCCTTTATTAGTATATAAGTGCTTTGTTAATAGTTCTATCGCTCAAAGTGGAGTTGAAAGAGATGAGTTTTCAGTCTGCGCCGGAAGGTGTGTAAGCTATCTGTGTAAATTGCCGTTATCATAACTTAATAACTTGTAAACAGAGTTTTTGTCAACATCCAAGTCAAAACTGTGACTGGGAATTACATCCAACTTGGCAGTTAATTAAATAGCAGTGCCTGGGAAAATCTTTACATTTTTTGTACCTAATTTTCATTAGATTAGCCATTTCTTAAAGATTGCTTAGAAAGAGAATTGTCTTTTATGATAATATTGATAGGTAAAATACCCGGGGTAAATGTTGAAGAGGTAAACGTAGAGTGTTGAAGTTGTGGAAAGAGATGAAAGTAGTCCAGTTAAAGTAGTATTTGTGTATGTGCACACGGCAGCAGAATCAGTACTGACCAGTGAAGCCGCCGTCTGCGATGTTGAACATGAAGCGAGGTCGCTCCATGAGAAGCCTCCCGTTTCCCTGGGGTAAATCCTCCCTCGCTGCTCTCACTTCTTTCCCAGCATCCCTTTCACCTTTGACTTCCTCTGTTATCGAGAAACACAGCAAAGGTGTCATTGGGTAAAAAAACTCTTCCATGTTAGATTTCTTTCACTGACATCGGAGCGTACCTTTCTTGACGTCAGACACCTCGGGCTTCTCCTTGTTGTCCGTCGTTTCGCTCGCGGCTGGTGTTTCTTCACGCTTTTCTTTCTCCTCCTCCAGCGCCTTTTCTCCTTTTTTGATTAAAACCGTACGTGAGCAAGGACTAAAACCAACCTGGCTTATCAAGTTCTGTGTTTTCGTATTTACCTGATGTCTCCTCTTTGACCTCGTCTTGTTGCGTCTCCTCTTTACTCTCCTCTTGGTCTTTCTTCTCCTCCGGTGTGGCGTCAGTCGTCTCTTTCTTCTCCTCCTCCTTCGGCTCACTCTCCTCTTTGTCTTCGCTCTTTTCACTCGGGGACACTGTTTGTGATGCGTCTTTTGTCGAAGAAGAACACTGTGAAAAAGCAACACAACATCTTCAAATGTCAGCTTTAAATAGATTTGAACAGATCAGTGAAGCCTTTCTGCTATTGATTCCATTAACGTTCTGAAAGATCATTTTCCAGAGCATGCTGTAGTGATTTTTTTGTTCTACCTTACAGGCAGTTTCTTTGATTTTAATATGATATGAGTACCCCGCTATAATTCCATTGAAAGCAGGAGTTATTTAAAAACGTTGCCAAGCATTAACAATGTATGTTTTTCTTCAAGCTGAATGAAAGGGAACAGAAAGCACTGACAGAAAGGAATAACGGAATGCTTTGGACAATAGTTGAAAAATAATGTAAAAGGAATTGTAGTGAAATGCATGAAATAAACAGGCATCAACGGAGTAAGACTTTAAGGTAGGAATAAAGGTATTTTTACAAAACATTTCACGTCTTAAAAAAGACGCAGAATGGGAAAAATGCAAAGAAATGTCTTTCGATAAGAACATACTGCAACTCTGCTGTGAAAACCAATAGTTAATATCATTTTCTCAGAGTGTCCCACCTCTTCAGGGTCTGCAGTGCTGTTGCTCTCCACCTCTTTCCCATCATCCCCCTCTTTCTCCTTCGCTCTTTCTTTATCGGACGACGCCCCCCCTTCCTCTTTGTCCCCTTCTTTCCCGTTCTTTTCCATCTTATCTGATGGAGCAGGGGTGGCTGCACAAAGACACACTGCATGTTAGATTATCTGCTGTCCTTTACTTGGAGCGCCCCCTGCTGGATGTAGTAGAAGTGTTACCTGGCTTGGAGGTGCAAGGTGTGTTGTTGTAAGAGGCCTCGGGGGTGGTGCTGGTGGTCTTCATGGCCGGAGAGGACGCCCTGGAGGAGGATTTGTCCAAAACGACCTCCGGCCTGAGCTCTGGGAGGCTCCAGCGGCCGTTGATGTGCTCAAACTCCTGGATCTGGACATGAAATAAAAAAAAGAAAGAAGCTTGTTCAAACTCACCCCCCACATGCCCCGCTCGCCTGGCGGTAAATCACTCGCTGGCGGAGATAGCAGATCGGGATGTCGGCCCGTTTCAACAGGTTGGACGTAAAACTGGATCGCAGATGTTTGGCGAGCTGACAGTAATAGAATAATCAGAACATCTCTCAGGATGTCACGGTTGATTTCATCACTAGAAAAATACTTCTGACATTTTATTTATGACCTGAAGATTATATTGTCTTTGGAATTTGGTAAATATAATATATCTTTTGATTTGACAAGGGCCTGTAGACAAACTGCTGATATGGAGGATTTATTCTTTGAGGTTTTTACCAAGCAAACCCTGTTTTTGGTAATATGTTGGGTCTGCTTTTACAGAAATAACCATTTAATGCTTTTACATTTATTGCTATTAATTGTTAGTAATGGAGTACGACATTTCCGGAGAAGGTTTTAAATACCTGCCTATATATTTACAGAAGGGAGAAATGCTTGTCGGGTGTAAATGTTTTAATAGATGTCGATTTCCACTCTTCTTACATCATATTATAAGTTATTGTTAATTCAAACTGGGGTGGCTTTGGGAAGGAATTTAAGGACACTGAGTTTAGCACTTACAGCAATCATTAATAAAAAGCATTTTTTGCACCCTGCACAAGGAGTTTGTTGTGGAATGAAATCTGTCAAGTAGCCATAAGGGTTGTAAAATCAACCAGGACTGAAATATTAAGGATGAGACGTTTAAGTGTCCTAGTTTTCATTATTCCCCACACTTGTCCTGACTTAGGAGGTGATCAGCATTGGTCTAACCTTCTTCTTGACGAGGGACATGACGCCGATGCGGGTGAGGACCGGCTGGCGACACAAGCCCTCTCTCGGCACGCCGTCTGCGAACGTCTCGGCGCCGTCAGCCACCGGCTCGCACAGGTGACGCATGAAGAGAGACACGTACGCTCTGGTGGAGAAGAAGAGGAATATTTGGTTTAAGGTCCCCTATTATACTGTTTTTCATCAATATATTATAGGTCTCAGATATATAGAAAACATGTCTCTGAAGTGTTTGGCTCCAAACACCAAACAGATCATTGCAGCATCCCATAATCCCCTCTGTTTCAGCCCTGTTTCAAAAGTGCTGATTCTCTGTCTGTTACTTTAGATGAAAATAAGGAGCCCCTCCCCACGCCCCTCTGAGAGACATTTGGTTAAAAAGAACACAATGGAGCTCTAGGAGGAGATTCAGGTGATAAGGTGGGGGGGGGGTTACCTTGGTTGGTGATTGGCTAATGGTTACACAAGCCAACACATCGTTATGACATCATAAAGTGGCCACAATCTGATCAGCTCATTTTCAGACAGGTTTTTATAGAAATGGAGAGAATCTTTTCCCCTGAAACTTTCAGAGTCTCTTTCCACAGAGGGGACACATGTTGATGTAGAGAAGACATGAAAAAGTGGACTTTGCATAATAGGTGACCTTTGAATGTTGGGTAGAAATAGAGATTACATTGAAGTCCAGAGTGTTTCCTTACTTGAACTCTTTCTCCGTCTTGCCCCTGAGGTCTCTGACCAGCCACTGGGAGGAGAAAGCGTCCTGAGAGGGCATCCCCCAGCGCATCACTGCGTTCAGGAAAGCCTTTCTCTGGCGTGTGTTAAAGCCCAACACCTGTGGAAAATCAACGCATATTTTACAGTTTATTTTGCCTCAGGGAAGCTGGCACTGCCTGGGTATAATGTCAGTCTGTTTAAACGTATTGCTATTCATCTGGAAGAGTGTCAGGATGAGGAAATGTGTCTTCCTCACACGTCCCAAGGCCTTTATAGAACTGCTCTGACTGCACTAAAATAAACATCTTTGAATCCACTTTTGAACAATGCAAGGCGTTATATAAGCCCCCAATTACAGGGTCATGAATGAGCAGATGTTATAGCCTCGCTGCCATCTCCGATTTATGGTTGTTAGAGAAATATCTGCGTTCGATTCAAAACAAGCTTGTCAGATTCCAGTCATATCACGATAAGACAAAGTGAAGGCAGAGAGTCGGACAGACCTCGAGGTTTCCTCCCACTCTGGCCAGGAGAGGAGGCAGAGGCTTATCCTTCTCGTTCCTCAGCTGGCGGCGCGACTGCCTTCGACCTGCGGGTAAAAACACCGTTTGGTGAAGAGAGGAAAACAAGATGTAAGGGGAGGGAAGCTTTTGCACACTTTTCCCCAAAATGTACAGAGAGTATTTCGACGATACATTAAAAAAAAACGTCTGAAATGCTGCGAGCGTTTCCCTCTGAAGTTCAGGAGGAAGGAGGTCTGCATTTTTTGGCTAAAAACGCGTTGGCCTCTGCCAGGTCACGGTTAGAGCTAACTCAATTTGTAATAACTCAACCCAGACCTGCTCGGTGTGTGTGCGTGTGTGTGTGTGTTCCTACAGGCATCTGTCACTGGTTTTGATGTCTCTCTCATGCTTTGATGTCTCCTTACCTTCTGGCCGATCGTCAAAGTCTTCGTCCTCCTCCTCGGAACCCACTGAGTACTCGGACTGGTTATCTGAAATGTCAGCATGCCACTCTGAAACAGCACATGGTGGTCTGTCAATAGGCCAGGCCCATTCACTTCCCAACACACATCACCCTAAATCCCACAGTTTATTGTAAGAAATAGAAGAAATCTTAACAATAAATACATGTGGAAGCAATCGTAAGGATCCTGGGGTTTATTTTAACATCCAAAAACCACCTTTTTCAGCTTACTTGAGATCGGACTCTCAGCTCCGGGTTCGGGCCCCGGTCCCTACCTTGGTCTTCCTGCGCTGCGTCGTTGTAGTTGACGGGTTTGCGGTTCCTCTTTCCCTTTCCCAGTTTACTGGCCAGGTCCTCCTGCTGCTGCTCGTAGTGATGCCGCAGCAGTTTCTCCCAATAGTCAGGATCCACGTTCTCCTCCTGCTTGATGATCTCACGCTCCACCTCCTCGATCTGCAGAGTTGGAAGTGAGGATTTTTCATACAAAGGTGTAATGTCTCTAATTAAAATAAACATAAATCATGTTGTTAGAAGTCACATTACTATAACATACATGGATTTTCAATGCAACTACTTCACACATTTGCTTACAGAGCTGACAAAAGGCTTAGGGTCTCGATATCATGAAACGAGCTATATTATTTTAAATAAATGTGCTATTCAAATGTATATTTCCCCCATGCCCTATAACAAAATATCTAACTTTTTATCATTTATGTCTAATTAACAAAAATCTGAAAATACTATAAAAACTTGACATCATAATTCCCTAACACGAAATATTCGGTGCAGTTTCACAGACGACAAATAGAAATGCAACAAATTAAGATATATTAAAAGCTGACAATGTTTTATGCCACCAACATATATATTTAAAAAAAAAACGAATTCTTTAAGTTTTGGTCATTTGAACGGACAAGTAATCACATCAAGCCTATTCATTGATCTATGATATCTGTGTGAAGATGCTGCCTCAGTGTTGATGAGAGTTCTATGTTTATTTCTTAATTTAGTGAGTAACAATAATAAAATAATGGAAAGTTTAGATATCACTTGTAAATGTCTAAAAAAGCTCCCTCTCACCTTGTCCTCCTCCCGCACCATGTACCGGGCCACCTTGAAGGAGCTGAGGTACTCGTTCATGTTCTGCACGTCCGAGTCGTCCGAGTCGTTCTGGCTGCGGTCCAGCAGCCGCTCGATGGCGCTGCTGTCGTAGTGGATCACGCTGCCCTCGTCCTCCCCCTTATCCCCCCCCGTATTATTCCTCATTCCTGCCGCAGAGGGAGTTCAAAAAGAGGAAACATTTTGTCCTGATCTTACAGACAAATAACCCTTTTCCTGTTATACCAATTATTTTTTAAGAAATACCAGAATAAGCCAAATGTGTCAAGATGAAATCAGATAGAAGGGAGTGAAAGCAAATAATCTTATCCAGGAAAATAAGCGTGCCAATTCTTCCTTATTTGAGCTCAAAAACCCATCACCATTATATTTAACTGTACGGTCTATTTTCCTTGGAAACATGCTCACGTTCTAGTTCGTCCTTGAAGAGCTCTTCTGTCCCGAACTTGAGGATGTCGTCCAGCTCCTGTTTGGACATGGATCCGGCTTTGGACCCCAGGCCGGGCCGGACCACCAGGTGGGTCAGCATCATCTTCCTCTTGGCCACCTCTGTGATGCGCTCCTCCACGCTGGCCCGCGTCACGAAGCGGTAGATCATCACCTTGTTGGCCTGCCCGATGCGGTGGGCTCGACTGAACGCCTGCGCAGAGATTCACCATTATTCAATAAGCAAATGAAAATGAAAAAACGTACAGGGAGAGTTTGTCTGCTGTCTGTATTGTATGTATAAACTGTCTCCTAAATCATGTACAATAATTCATAGTTCACACAAATGTGACATTTGTTTATTCATGTTCTAAGAAAACTACTCAAATGGAAAACAACTCTACTTTTGTTGAAAGTGTACAAATACACAGGGGTATATTCCACATGTTACTGGGAATAGATTCGTACAGAAATACTTGCCATTTTGAACAATGATTTACAAATAGACGCATTGTATTATACTATAGGAGCAATCCTTGATGGAGCTGTGGAAAAGAGAAAGGCTTACTTGCTGCATATTGTTTCATTAGTGGCAAAAAAGACAATGAAAGTGTACTCAGTAGAAACAGCAACACCCCATGCAAAGACAGACATCGGATTCTATTATTCCTTATTTAGGTTTACCAACGTGATATGGTGCAGCTATGTGTTGTTTCACTGCACCTGTATGTCGTTGTGAGGGTTCCAGTCGGAGTCGAAGATGACCACGGTGTCGGCGGTGGCCAGGTTGATGCCCAGACCCCCGGCTCTGGTGGAGAGCAGGAAGCAGAACTGAGGAGCACCGGGAGCTGCAGACAGGAGGAGGAACACAGACAGTAATATTCATCAGTTCAGATCACAGAATCCTATTGATTATATTTTTGCAATGGCTATAACCTCTGTGCAATTATTAAGATGATTTCAGAAGAGATCAAGAGATATTGAAAGTGTTGCTGTACAGTTATCCCTTTACAGCAAGGGTGTCAAACTCAAGGCCCGCAAGAGCTCGCAAAGAATATAATATTATTATACGGTTACATGCCGCATTACAGAAGCACGTTGCCCATAAACTACATGTCCCACAATGCATCTCATTTTGTGACACGGGAGATTATTTGCCTAGACTTCTGCTTTCAGACGTAGTTAATTATGAAGCTATTACCCTATCCGATAATAATCCAATGCAGAGGCAATAATGTAATATAATACATTATATATGTATTATGTATTTATATATATAGTCTTAAAGTTACAGCCGGCCCTTTGAGTGCAACCATAATACTGATGTGGCCCGCGATGAAATTGAGTTTGAAACCCCTGCTTTACAGTATATAACTCTCTATCTTGTCGTATTGGTAATTTGCCTGATATTAAAACTTTTATAGTCCAGTAAAGTTTTACAAGATTTTCCACTGTTAAAGGTTTTTCCTTTCCGAAGTGTCATATTTTGTGAGGCACATTTGTGATATTGGGCTATATAAATAGAATAGATTGGGAGGGATGAAACCCTCTTTAATGGTCACACATGCAGAGCACACAGCACACACAGTGAAATGTCTTCTCTGCTTTTAACCCATCCTAGCACCAGGAGTCTAGTACTAGGAGCAGTGGGCAGCTATTGCACAGCGCCCGGGGAGCCATTGGAGTGGGGGGGGGGAAGGGGGGTGTCCGGTGCCTTGCTCAAGGGCACCACGGCAGGGCAGGAGGTGAACTGGGAGCTTTCCAAGTAGCAGTCCACACTCCATATTTAGGTCTGTTCGGGGACTTGAACCGACGACCCTACGGCTCACAGTCCAAGCCCCGACTGACTGAGCCACTGCCGGACAAATGGACTTGACTTGTTCCCCCTGTGTGGATCTTCCCCAGTTTTCCTTCAGCACTCATCCAAAGGCAACTATCCCTGCTGTGTGATTTAATGCCAGGTGTTGCCAACTCCTGCTGCTTAGTGATAAAGCCAAGTTCCACATGAAACAAAGTCAGCATCAACCCAGTGCTTATCAGCCTTTGTAACTGAAGTCAGGTTGGCTTTAGTTCTAGAAACTGACTCCATCTCCCTCTACTCACAACTCCATCTGCTCGTGAAATATACTATGTGATTATCACAGAGAAATCCAGCTTTGCGGTCTAAAAATAGCACACAAAGCAAACAGCAACGCAGTATTGTTCCAGCATTTGCATTATGAAACCTCTTCGGTACATCACTTACACTCAAATAACCCTTTTACATGCAGGTATACAGTATAGTGCTATCATTTATTAATGTAATGTATTATTCATTGCACTGTTGTGTTAACTAACATGTGAAAAATAAAGTGAATTAAGGCAGAAACAGAACACAGGAAGTTCTGCTGTTTCTCAAATATGTCGTTTTTCTACTACTTGTATATTTTACATCATATTAAACTGAACATCTTCGAATGTTGGGCTGAAACAAGTCATTTAAACTGTCACCCTTGAACTATGAGAAGCACGATGGACCAGATTAACCAATTACGAAAACAATTGTTAGTTGCAGCCCTGAAGTCAAATGTCTTGTTTCTTTCCATTTCAGGGAACTAAGCCAATAGCCTTGATAATGATTTCAATCCTGATGTATATCATCCAGTCTCTCACCATTGAAGCGGTCGATGGCCTCTTGTCTCATTGCTCCCGTCACGCTTCCATCAATTCTCTCATACTTGTACCCGTCATGGTCCAAGAAATCTTCCAGTAAGTCCAGCATCTTGGTCATCTACAAAGGAAGGAGAGAAAAACAGTCATATGTGTTTTCAGCTATTCTCGGTTCTCAGTTGGAATACCAGTTCTGGAGGAGTCGTGGCACGGATTGAACGTCTGTGAAGGGAGACGCTGGTGTGTACCTGAGAGAAGATTAGTACTCTGTGCCCCTGATCTTTCAGCTTCCTCAGCATCTTCTCCAACAGCGTCAGTTTCCCAGAGGCCTTAGAGAGGGCCGACCCCTCGTAAGCTCCATTAGGGGTTCTTTGGGCTTCCTACAAACACACACACAAACCAGTCCTCAAGTAAAAAAACAACTGAGGACATATCATGCTTATTTTCAGATTCATATTTGTATTTAGTTCCTTTACTGTGACTGTTTAGATGCTTTCATGTTCAAAAAGCTCTTTATTTTCATCATACTTGTGCTGCAGCACCTCTTTTCACCCTCTGTCTGAAACCAGAGCACAGTCTGCTGTGATTGGTTAGCTGGCTGGCTTTTTTGTGGGAGATCGCTTAGAGATGTCCCGCCTCTTAGCCTATCACGTACAATGTGTTGGAGACCATTTACATGCACTAAAACCAATATAACACACTACAGGAAAGGGAAAAAACCCAAAAACCTCTTTATAAGAATAAATATAGAACAAAAGCAGCGCTGAATATCAACACAAGATGTCACTGTTCAGCTATTCAGGACAAATGTAAAGCAAATGGTTGGAACACAAGTGAATAATACTAGTGAATTATGTAAATATCTATATCTATACTAAAAGCGTTTTGCTAAGGACAAGAGTGTGTGTGTGTGTGTGTGTGTGTGTGTGTGTGTGTGTGTGTGTGTGTGTGTGTGCTCACGATGGAGGCGACAGGGAAGAGGTAGGGGTGGTTGCAGCACTTCTTGAGGTCCATCATGATGTTGAGCAGGGAGACCTGGTTCCCTCCGCCTTTAGAGTTCAGAGCCTCGAAGTTCTTGGTCAGAATCAGCTTGTAGTATTTTCTGTATTTAACAACATAGAAGCAAATTAGGAAATAATAACCACGGTGGACTACATATTGAAAGAAATTCTGAAGTTATAATCATATATAAAACAAAGAGAGACATCCTATATCTCTCTCGTCTCCATTGTTTAATTTGAATACAAATATTCTGAAGTTACTGCGTCTCCTTTTCTATTTCCCTATTGCATATTACATTTAAATTAGAATAAAGATAGTTTTGAATCCATTTAAACCACATTTATCAATGGCAAATAATGACATTTCAAAAATATAATTAACTCAATAACCTCTTATTGGTAACATGTCAGGATTTTAGCTAGACCAAATGAATGGAAAGTCACTATTTTATCATGAATCAGCGCTCTATAATTAATCAGATAACGATTGCCAATTGAAAAGGTTTAGGCTAAATGGTCAAAGATGTAGCTAGAGAGGAATGTATCCGCCTGTATCCTCGTTTCCTCTTTAACCCCTCAGCGTGTCGTACTTCTGCATGGGGCTCAGCTCCACCCTGACGATCAGCTCGGTCTTGGCCGGCATGTTCTTGAAGACGTCGGCCTTCAGCCTGCGCAGCATGTGAGGCCCCAGCAGGTCGTGGAGCTTCTTGATCTGGTCCTCCTTGGAGATGTCTGCAAACTCCTCCAGGAAGCCCTCCAGGTTACTGTGCAGAGAGATGGACAGGGTGAAGGACTGGATATACCGGCAATAGTGAATATATATGTGTGTGTGTGTGTGTGTGTGTGTGTGAGAGACGTCCTACTTGAAGCGGTTGGGTGTGAGGAAATTGAGCAGGTGAAACAGCTCCTCCAGGTTGTTCTGTAGAGGAGTTCCTGTCAGCAGCAGCTTGTGGTCGATCGTGTAGTCGTTCAGACGCCTGAAAAACTGCACAAACAATAAAAATCCTTATTATACGTTTGTCCTCCAGAGGGCGCTGACACTTTCTTTTGGCAACTGGAAACCTTAAAGTCATTAGATACCAATATAAGGGCTTTTTATCAAAGATGTTGGTATTCATTTTATAGTAGGATGTATATATTTTCTTTGACACACACTCTATAGCTACCGTACCTTGGACTGGTTGTTCTTCAGGCGATGGGCCTCGTCCACCACCAGACAGGCCCAGTCCATGGACTTCAGCGCCGTCTGGTCGATGGTCACCAGCTCGTAGGAGGTCAGGAGAACGTGGAACTTGATAGTAGCGTCTCTCTGCAGGGAGTAAGAGGAAACTGAATGGCTTGGCACAAGTTCCTTTACTCTTAAACTTTTAAATGAATGCTGAGTTAAGTTACGTTTTTAGGATATTTGGTTATTGTTAGGTGTCTTATAGCTTTTAACGTTTCTGTATATTAAATGAAACCTCTCGAATTTTAGATTTGTAATTAATATATATTCTAAATACCTTTTTGATTATTGTTTAGGCCCGTATTCTAAAGACCTAGGACAGTTTATCAGGGTGTCCCATTTCACATATTTCCGAGAAGCATCACATGTGTAAAACCAACTGATTCTGTAACATTTTAACATTAAGAACGAATAAATAAGAAAATAAAACTACTAAAAACACAATCTTATAATCCCCACAGTTTCAACTGAAACATGTTTTGTTTCCCCTCGGTGTCAGGTCCATTTCCTCACCCTGAGCTTGAAGGCCCTCTTCCCTCCTTTGACAGCCGACTCGTCGAAGGAGAACTCGTTCTCTCTGATGATGGCGCGGCTGTCCTTGTCTCCCGAGTACGTCACCACGTAGAAGTCCGGCGCCCACATCTCAAACTCCCTCTCCCAGTTGATGATGGTGGAGAGCGGGGCGCTGACCAGGAACGGACCCTTAGTGTGGCCCTGAGGGACGAAGAGGATGAGGAAGAGGAAGTCAGACATGTATCTTCCGGTGAAGTGAGACACTGATCGCACCATGAGGCTCCGGTACCTCTTTGAACAGCGAGTAGAGGAAGACGATGGTCTGGATGGTTTTGCCGAGGCCCATCTCGTCGGCCAGGATGGTGTCGGTGCCCTGAGCCCAGGAGAAGCGCAGCCAGTTCAGACCCTCCAGCTGGTACAGGTGCAGCGTGCCCCCCGTCTGCGTCACGAAGTCGGGCTGCTCCTCGTACTTTATCGTCGGCTGGACGGAGAAAAGGGGAGAACATGAGTAATGATTATAAAAACCTGATTGTGACACAGCTATTAGTTTTTTAGTCCAATTAAGTCTGTTCCATCTCTGCAGAAATTCATGCCGTTTATGGTAGCGATATATGTAATAAAGCTTATAATCTAAAACTAATAAATATCGGCTCATTTTTATTCTATTTTTGAAGATTATGTTCATTTTACTGACTACTTTACAGAAACACAGAAAGAGAATATTGTCTCACATTAAATGGAACGGTTCACTAAGTAATATTCGTTATGAGTACGTACATTTTATACATTAAAAATTAAAACGTTGCCTTCGATTTCAATCGGAGTAAAACACAGAAAGGAAGCAGCTGTAAATACGACCTGATGAAACTGAAACTGCAGTAAACTCACATCAGTGACCGGCGAGGCAGAAGAGTCCTCTTCACACTCCTGGTTCCTGCTCCTCATCCTCCGGGATTTGTCTGGGTCCTCCTTCATTATCGCATCTCTGTCAGAAGAAAAAAAAAGAGAAAAAACGTGTAAATACCAGGAATAAATGTGTATGAGCTCTATGCATTGACTTGCAGCAGGTTTCCATACTTTGGGATGCTCTACGGTCCCATTATCCAATGAAAACAGCTCAAACGGCAACCTTACTACATTAAAAACTGTTTTATTCTACTGGCTTGCTGTAATAAATAACATCTCGATTGTTAGATACAAAAATTGTCCCACAATAAAGTCAGTGTGGTTGTGTTACTCTACCTGTGACTCCAGTAGTTGCTCTTGTGAATTGCGAAGTCGGGGATGTCCAGGTCGTCTCTCTCCCAGGTGCATTGATCGTAGGTCAGGTCTCTCCATTTGACCAGATAGTGGTACGTCCCCTTCTTATCCACACTGCCAGGGACACACAGTTGTAAAGCACCATTATGCACTTAAACAGACATAAAAAACCTTTACACGCCGACTAATAAGACTGTGATGACCCTGGATTGCTTTTTTAAAACCATAACAGTACATTCTAGGCATTCATTCAAGTCATTAACACTACTTTTATAGGACTCAATAAAGTAATGACAGGTTGTAACATAAAAGATCAGATACATGCCCACACACAAGCCTCACCTGTGGTTGATGATGCGTTGGATCATCATCCACTCCGGCTTGATGCCATATTTGTAGTATTTGTCATCCATTATGGCGTACTGAGGGTCTTTGGCCCTCCTCTTCTCGCTCTTCCCCACCCCGTTCTCATCCTCCTCGTAGTCCAGGCTGGGAGGCTCGTCCATGTCCGTCTTCCTCTGGTAGTTCCTGTGCATCACCGAGTGGAAGATCTCAAGCTGGAGGGAAGAGGGAGAGGGAGGTGAGCATGTGTTGGGCAGCAGTGTGAACCTGGAAATGTATGGTAGTGTACCCCAAAGTTTTATCAAATGTATAGCACGGTTAGGCGATGTTGGGCGATTTGCACAATTAGTTGAATTAATGAACATATGCAGACGACATTAGAAACAAAATGGCTCGGCCGGTTTGGTCATTTTGGAGTGCTTTTGGAGGTTATTGACTATGTTGAATCCATTTCTAAAATGTTTAGGATCAAAAATTGCACTTTTGTGTCCCCTAAAACTTTAAAATCGACACAAAATTCACCACCATCAGCCCACCCAGGAGTACAAATAAGGCCACTTTCTCGTTAAAACTGACATTTTTGATCCTGGAATTGTCCGAAATGTATTCAACATCTTCAATAACATCGAAAACCACTCCAAAACTGTCCAAATCAGCCTAGCAATTTTGTAACTATTGTCTAGCTTTCCCAACTGTATGCTAATGAATGCAACTAATTGTGCATATTGCCCAACATATGCAAGTTAGCATCCGGCTATATGCTGGGGACCCTTACTTTCTATTCTAACATAACATAAAAAACAGACTATAATTGGACCGTCACTTTTCCATCCCTCTCCTCTCGTACCTGCAGCTCGGTGATCCAGGTGCAGTGCCAGTAGGATTGAGCCGTCAACTTCACAAAGAACTCCCTCTCGGGTCTGCCATTCATGGGTGGAGGCGGGGGGGCGTCAGGTGGGGCGTCCGGAGCAGGGGGGACAGGGATGGGAGGAGGAGGTTCGCCCCATCGCCAGTGGAGGATCTTCTGGACGCGCCCTGTGATTAGCTGACACTGGAGGGGGAATAACACTCACTGGTTAATACTTGGAAGTGTGTTCTGATCATGTGGACTATTTTTCATTTCAGGTATATTTGATACCTCAGCACCTTTAAAATAATACATTGGGAGTTTCTATGTAATATTTGTATTTCTTTTTTGGGAATTACAAATCTTGTGAAATTATTCCCAATTAGGAATAGTTGGACTGACACTGATTGGTCCCTGTAAATCACATAGTACACATAATCCTAAACTAGATAAAAACAGGTTTTAATTAAATTAGGAGCTTCTCACCGTGCATCGCGGACACAGCCACTCTCCGTTGGGGATCTCGGGCAGCGGGGGGTTCAGGCAGTGGATGTGGTACGAGGAGGTGCAGGTGTCGCAGCACAGCAGCTCTCCTCCGTCTTTACACACCCGACAGAACTCCATGTGGTCGTCATCCTCCTCCTCGGCGCCGACGGGGATCCCCACCCTGCCCTCAGATACCACTCGTTCCTCGCTGTCCTCCTCGAAATCCTCAAAGTCCTCGTCCTTCGCCTCCCACTGGATCCCCTCTTTTTCCTGGGGAAAGGAAATATCGATTCATTCAGATGAGTTAAACCTTAAGAATAACTGTTTTTGTCAACGGAAATTAACAGTCAAGGTCGATCCAGGTGATAGCTAATAGTAACAATTACAGAAAACATAAGAAAAAAAGCATAGCAATCCCAAGGCCTTGCAGGATTATTTGAAGGGAAAAACAGCCGGATTTACTCAACACTTTTTAGCATGTTAGCTTATATTTAGCATGTTTGATGTCTCCTTGTTCTGTGCAGCAATGCCTATTTCTGAGTGAGGTATGTTGGTAAGGAGATATAAAGACAAATCTGTAGGAAAGTAAGTTTAAGCTGAGGGATTTTCTGCAGAAAAAGATGGGTGATTGATTTAACTTCTGGTCCCTCTTTTACAAACGTAATTAGCGACATCACATACACAAAGATGGCAAATCTTGACAGCCACATGCATCAGAAATTGAGGAGAATTCTCTCATATAGAAACAGGAAGAAAGTACTGAAAATCGGCAGCTGGTAATAAGGCTACGTCTATATAACAAAAGCTTAATTTTGCGAGGATCTTAACAATGTATTTGTTTAAACAGTGTGTCTTTACCATGAAAACTATCCAGTAAAATGCAAAATATTTCTTTGTGTTCGTATTTTTCCGCACACAACAACTCAACTAAAAACCCTGCAGTCCACTTCAAACGCAGCTAACAGAACAGTGCATGTTTATTGAGCTGTGTCATGGTAACCAAAAGTATGAGCAATGGGGTTTTTGTGACAATACTGAATAGATGTACACCTACAACACCACTTCAATTACCCGTCTTCGTCTGAAAGCAGCTACAAAACCTCTATTCATCCAGTGCTCAGACAAGTACAAACAAACCACTTTTAACTGTTTTTTCTTACGTATCTTTGACAAATAGACCCTTGAAATACATTTAAATCTGCTGAGCAAGTACATAAATACCAAGTAGGAAAAGTTTTTGTTGTACTCACGCAGTGCGGGCAGCTCCACTTGCCCTCGGGGGCTTTGTCCAGCTCGGGCTCGAGGCAGACGAGGTGGTACGCTCGGGGACAGGTGTCACACAGAATGATCTCCCCCCCCTGCTGACACACCTCGCAGTAGTCCTGGTGGTCCGTCTCGTAGCCGTCGGCCCCCTCCTCCTCCCCGGGGACTGCAGGGACGAGCCCAGGCAAGTCTGAAAATGATGATGAAAGTGTATCAACTATCAGGATATTTTGGACAGAATACTGCGATATTGCTATGACTTTTTTAGGGTTAACAGTTCAAATAAGATGTTTGATAAAAAATTATGATCAGAAATGTGGATATAAAGGCTTAGTGGATAAAGATATACAATCTAAATTAGAAAATGACATGATTTGACTTTAATACAGCCAGAAAACACCAAAAACTAAGACCATATCTAGTCTCATGTACAAATGTATCGATATAATATCAATGCCCAGCTCTAATTGTGCGTATAACTGGCAGGAAGTGCTTGTACTTTTCTTCTTCTTCTTGACAGGCCGCCCTGGCTTGTTCTTCTTGACGCGGCCCGAGCTGTCGGAGCGAACCGAGGAGCTGTGAACGCTCGAGTCCTCCTGCTCCGACTCCTCCTCGTCCAGGTCCTCGCTCTGAAGGGAACACAGGCAGAGTCAAGGAAAGAAAGGAAAGAGGTGACAGGTAACCGAAACAGGAAAAAGAATAACGTGGAAGCAAGACAGGAGTTTTGTACTCACTGAGCAACTCTTCTTCCTCTTGGCACCTATGGGCGATAGTTTGATACGAATGGGTGCCATCTTTTTAGCCTTTGCGGCAGCCTTTTTCTTGTCTGCCACTCGAGGGCTTTTACTGCGCTTTTTGAAGCCAGGGCCTAGATAGAAAAGATCATAATGCAATTAATACATTACATTGCATTTAGCTGACGCTTTTATCCAAAGCGACTTACAATAAGTGCGTTCGACCAGGAAGACACAACTTGAAGAAAACAGAATCATATAAGTACATCAGGTTTGATAGAGCTAAAACATTTCAAGTGCTACTCAACTGGCTTTAGATAAGCCAGTCCTTTATTAGTATATACAGTGGGGCCAAAAAGTATTTAGTCAGCCACCAATTGTGCAAGTTCTCCCACTTAAAAAGATGAGAGAGGCCTGTAATGTTCATCCTAGGTACACTTCAACTATGAGAGACAGAATGGGGGGAAAGAATCCAGGAAATCACATTGTAGGATTTTTAATGAATGAATTGGTAAATTACTCGGAAAAATAAGTATTTGGTCACCTACAAACAAACAAGATTTCTGGCTCTCACAGACCTGTAACTTCTTCTTTAAGAGCCTCCTCTGTCCTCCACTCGTTAACTGTATTAATGGCACCTGTTTGAACTCGTTATCAGTATAAAAGACACCTGTCCACAACCTCAAACAGTCACACTCCAAACTCCACTATGGCCAAGACCAAAGAGCTGTCAAAGGACACCAGAAACAAAATTGTAGACCTGCACCAGGCTGGGAAGACTGCATCTGCAATAGGTAAGCAGCTTGGTGTGAAGAAATCAACTGTGGGAGCAATTATTAGAAAATGGAAGACATAGAAGACCACTGATAATCTCCCTCGATCTGGGGCTCCACGCAAGATCTCACCCCGTGGGGTCAAAAGGATCACAAGAACGGTGAGCAAAAATCCCAGAACCACACGGGGGGACCTAGTCAATGACCTGCAGAGAGCCGGGACCAAAGTAACAAAGGCTACCATCAGTAACACACAACGCCGGCAGGGACTCAAATCCTGCAGTGCCAGACGTGTCCCCCTGCTTAAGCCAGTACATGTCCAGGCCCGTCTGAAGTTTGCTAGAGAGCATTTAGATGATCCAGAAGAGGATTGGGAGAATGTCATATGGTCAGATGAAACCAAAATAGAACTTTTTGGTAAAAACTCAACGAGACGTGTTTGGAGGAGAAAGAATGCTGAGTTGCATCCAAAGAACACCTACTGTGAAACATGGGGGTGGAAACATCATGCTTTGGGGCTGTTTTTCTGCAAAGGGACCAGGACGACTGATCCGTGTAAAGGAAAGAATGAATGGGGCCATGTATCGTGAGATTTTGAGTGACAACCTCCTTCCATCAGCAGGGGCATTGAAGATGAAACGTGGCTGGGTCTTTCAGCATGACAATGATCCCAAACACACCGCCCGGGCAATGAAGGAGTGGCTTCGTAAGAAGCATTTCAAGGTCCTGGAGTGGCCTAGCCAGTCTCCAGATCTCAACCCCATAGAAAATCTTTGGAGGGAGTTGAAAGACCGTGTTGCCCAGCGACAGCCCCAAAACATCACTGCTCTAGAGGAGATCTGCATGGAGGAATGGGCCAAAATACCAGCAACAGTGTGTGAAAACCTTGTGAAGACTTACAGAAAACGTTTGACCTCTGTCATTGCCAACAAAGGGTATATAACAAAGTATTGAGATGAACTTTTGTTATTGACCAAATACTTATTTTCCACCATCATTTGCAAATAAATTCTTTAAAAATCAGACAATGTGATTTTCTTGATTTTTTTTTTTCTCATTTTGTCTCTCATAGTTGAGGTTCACCTAGGATGAAAATTACAGGCCTCTCTCATCTTTTTAATTGAGAGAACTTGCACAATTGGTGGCTGACTAAATACCTTTTTTGCCCCACTGTAAGTGCTTTGTTAATAGTTCTATCGATCGAAGTGGAGTCGAAAGAGATGTGTTTTCATTTTCCCCGGAAGATGTGTAAGCTTTCTGCTGTCCTGATTTGAATGGGGAGCTCATTCCACCATCTTGGAGCCAGGATAGCAAACCCACGTGTTTTTGCCGATGGGAACTTGGATCCCCCTCGCAGTGCGGGTGCAGCGAGCCGTTTGGCTGATGCAGAGCGGAGTGCACGTGCTGGGGTGTACAGTTTAACCATGTCCTGGATGTAGGAAGGGCCAGATCCATTCGCAGCATGGTACGCAAGTACCAGTGTCTTGAAGTGGATTCTAGCAGTTACTGGAAGCCAGTGAAGGGAGCGGAGGAGCGGAGTGGTGTGGGAACATTTAGGAAGGTTGAAGACCAGACGAGCCGCTGCATTCTGGATGAGCTGCAGAGGTCGGATGGCACATGCAGGTAGACCAGCCAGGAGGGAGTTGCAGTAGTCTAGGCGTGAGATGACGAGAGCCTGGACCAGAACCTGCGTCGCTTTCTGGGTCAGGTGGGGACGTATCTTCCTGATGTTGTAAAGCGTGTATCTGCAGCAACGGGTTGTAGCAGCGATGTTTGCAGTGAAGGACAGGTTGTTATCTAGGGTCACACCCAGATTCCTTGCAGTCTGAGTCGGGGAAACAACAGAGGGGCCGATGTTGATTTTCAGGTCAAGAGTGGGACAATCTTTTCCCGGAAGGAAAAGCAGTTAATTCTTGTCAAGGTTGAGCTTGAGGTGGTGAGCAGACATCCACTGAGAGATGTCCGCTAGACAAGCAGAGATGCGTGCGACGACCTGGTTTTCAGAGTGAATCAGTTTGTTTTCTTATATTAGAATGTAAACAAACATCAGCTGTTCACATGACACCAGCATGTGCTCAAGATGATTACTGGTACATGTCATGTGCCTCTGAGGTCAGTTTTAACTGGATATCAACAATTGAATACGTTATTCATATCAATAAAGACTGTGTCCACGTCCAAACTGGCACAAAATCTGAAGGGAAACAGGGAAATGAAGCCTAAAGATGACCCCTGACCTTTGCCCTCTTTCGTCTTGGCCTTCCTGATGGGTGGGGGCGGTGGCGGTGGAGGCGGTTCAGGCGAGGCGTTGGCGGCGGAGACCTGCTCGGCGACAGCGATGGCGGCCGCTGCTGCTGCCGCGGTGACGGCAGCGGCGTTGCCCTTGAAGGGGTTGTTGGTGCTGAACTCCCTCCACTTGGCCCCCAGGATAGTCATCATCTTCGACATGGGGATCTTAGGATTCGTCTTGGCTATCATCGGCCTGGGGAGAGAGGTTAGGATTCATTCAAGTGCTTTGAAAAGAGAAGAAACATAAGCAAAACATAGACATCTGGATAACATTTCACTTTCTTATAAGACCTGTCGGTTTTCTAGTATTGTTGACCCATACTTATTTAGGCCTTTTAGCCTTTTTATCTGCACTGTCCTTTTGCTGTAACGTCAACTTCTCGAGTGTGGGATGAAAAATAGGATTACTGATCCGTCTGCAGTGTTGTGCAGATTTATAACAGTTTTTTCATGCACCTATTTTTGGTTGCAAGATTCCTCATTTCGAAAGATATATGTAATATTGGCCGTTTTACCGTTACTGACCACTGACTCCTCACTCACTCAAACGTACCTAGTAAATGCAGAGCACAAAAACTGACATCCATAGAAAGTTTGGTATCATATTAAACAGCAGCATGTGCAGATTAATTCCACACCCAATATATGTGACGATCCGCTTAAGTTGGGCACAATTACCCACCATCTTGACGGTAAGGAAGCCAGGAGGCGGGACATTGGAGTGAGATTCAATTTGTTTTGTTTGGAGGGCACAGGAAGACACTTTGAGTTTAGTTTTCCACTACAGCTCAGTCTGCCAGTGGAGCAGAGACAGCCACATAACATCCCAGCATATAGAAGTGGACATAATGGACTACTTCACATTATCAGAGTGAAAGCCGGTATGAGTCAGACAGAGAGGCCGAGGCTCAGCACAGCTAGCAGGATGATAAAGACACAGCTGTCAGAGGGAGACAGAGGCGGCCCACGCCACATGTTTCTGTGTGTATCTGCTGCTGCTGGGAGCTTCACTATGGACGGTGTGTGTTGCCAGTGTAGAAGGAGGCTTGAGCTAGTCTAAAAGATGCCAGTTCTCATTTACTACACGAGTACCTGTGTATCTCGGACCTGAGAAGTACTACAAACAAGCTCACACTCTACACTAATGAAACACATGTATCTGTCATAAAGGGTGTAGGCATTCGGCTTGGACAGCTTTTTAAAAAAAATGAAAACACTTTAAAAGGGGCCTAAACCAAAGATTGCCCAGACCCTTGAAGCCTTTGTAATCACATCTAAACTGGTACTATAATTGTAAAAACATTACATTTACAAAATTCCTTCACCCACAGCTTTGTAATCGTAAACGTAATCCAACAATTAAAATTGAGCATTTTCCAAGCTTTCCAAAACGTTGTACTAACTCGGGTTATGACTCACAATCACCGACTCAAATTCCAAAAGCAGCAAAACGTTCCTTTAATTCTTATATCCCTTCAAAATAATGACAACTATGAAAACCAAATCCTGCTCATGTAAAACGAGTACTTCAACACAAACACGCTGTTGGATGGTAACATGTGAACATAGAATGGCTTTAACTCCATCACAGTGCCAACAAACATTACTTCTATAGGAGGTCAGCGTGTTGCCAACAGCTATATCCATAAGTCTACATAAGCACCATGTGAAAACAAGAGAGCATACTGCACCTCATGAACTGGCTGAAGGCTTTGTAGTTGGTGAGCTCCCCGTAGTCCTCCTCTGTGAAGGTATGATCAACATCCTCCAGACTCCACTCCTTCGCCAGCTGTGCCGACGTCTTCTGCTCTATAGGCTGATGAGGAGAAACCAACGATCAGAATCACAACATATTTGTTAAAGATGACTTTTATGATTCATTATTTACCTTCGTAGTTTCCTCCTGACTGCTGTCTCGGTCCCCGTCGACTTTTTTCTTCTTCTTGGTTTTCTTCTCCTTCCTTTCTTTATGTTTCTTCTTTTTCTTTTTCTCCCCGGATCCATAGTCGCTGGCTACGCTGTCCGAGTTCTCGACGTAATCTCTTTCTTTTTCGGAGTCTCTCTCTACATCGCTGTCCTGAAGAAAATGAAAATATTAAGAATGAATTTTAGTGTGACGTGAAAGCCATGAAAAGAAAAAAGCCAAAGCATGACAAACTTACAATCTTCTTGCGTTTTTTTGTTTTGACCGGTTTCCCTTCTTTGTCTTTCTTCTTTGTGTCCTTCTTTTTCTTGGGTCGCCCTTTCTTCTTGCACGGGACCTCTCTGTCGGATATCTCTACCTCTTCGTCTAGAGGAGCAACGGGGATAAAGGAGGGGTGACAGAGGGACAGCCATTAGAATCAGATGAGCAATAATCTTCTCAAACGCTTCCCAACACTTAGCTAATCCCTACTGAAGATAATTACACACAACAAAAGCTCCCTGATAGCCGCTGTGTCTTCAGTGACCTCTGACCCCCTCTGAATTGTGACACATGCTTAATTAGATGCAGTTTGTCAGAGGCCTGTAAGTAGAGAGGACAGCTGGTGTGGCTGGTTTCATAGCATGGGGATAATTGCCTAATTGGCAATGCGAAAGTGTGACCAGCACCTTTGTAAACAAAGCTGAACGGCAGTCCTATAAACAATACAAAGAAATCTAGTGTTTTTATATTTTGGTTATTGATGTAAGGGAATACAAATAGAAGGAATACAAATAGGTTGAACTTCCCCTGTCTTATATAATAGAAGACTCTCAGGCTGAGTGCATCTAAAATACATGACTGTATCTCGGCTGTCACTACAAATGATGAGAAAATATCAGGCCAGATATTCCCCATGGTGCCGGTGCAATATCACAGCACCAAGAAGGGCACTTTAACCTGCAACCTGACCTGGCTTGAAGTAGAAACAGAGAAATAGCAACAGCTTCAAAAGACAAAATGCAGCAAAGCGTTAAAGCATAACCAAAATACAGGCTGCGGTTTGAACTGAGCGGACTATTCTGCACAGTTTCTATTATATTCTGTTTCTATTATATTTTTATTTTATTTACTATGTTATCTGTTTTATTGTGTTGCACTGTTGGAGGAGCCTGTGACCTAAGATTTTCATTGTCATAACTGCACTGTAGCTGTGCACACATAAGCCTTGAAACTTGAAACCTTGAACAACCAGACTTTGATTAGGATACATTTTGTCTGATTTTATTGTCTGCGTGCCTTTGTTGGTGAGCTCCAACCACCACAATAGCTGCAGCATTAACAGCCCCCCACCACCACCACCTCCTCCTCCTCCTCACTCCCACCCAGACTAACCCACACCGCGTATCCGTGCATCGCGTAGCCGCCAATGACGCTCCGGGGCCGGCTGCATTACACACGCAGAACCGGTGATTCAGAGGCCGCCGACGGGACGGTGCGGTGAACCGGAGCGACTTCTTTCCCGCTCTGCTATTCCCTCATGGGGACCACCGACCACCGCCGTGACCGCTGCTCAGGGGTCGGGACGGGGTTAAGGAAAGGAAGCACGACACTCATTTATCGGTCTGACACGGCATGGCGGCGGGGCCGGAGCTAATTAAGACTAAAGACAAAGCAGTGCAGGCTGACTGTGATATGCATACAGGAAAATGCACTTGTGCCTTCCTTATCTTGAGTTAATTTACATTTCTCCCCACAACAGCTCTACTTTGCACAATTGTAATGGATATTTAATCCAATGTCAACATGTTTTTGTATATTTCTGTGGAATTGTATATTGTAGAGTACTCCCAATTATTCAGTAGCCTATGTTCTGTGTAGCCTACTGTGTTTTATTTAGATTCTCTAGCAGTGTGTGTCTTTTCCATTGTAATTGTGTATACATTTGCTGTTAATGTTAATTTTATTGTATCTTAAATATGTTTAATTAATGTGTAATGCTTGACAACAACATTTTCCAATTTGGGATGAATAAAGTATCTTTCTATCTCATGACATCTCCACATACGTTTCTGTGTCACGTCTGCATCGCTTTTGGCCACAATATTAGTAGTTATTATATGTTTTATGAATAAACTGCAACCTTAGGGCTGCTGCACTGCTATTTTTGACTTCTACTGTTGCAGTGTGGTTAACCAGCCACTACTTTCTGCACCCTTTAGTTCCACTGTCTGCAACCCTGTGCAGCTTCACTGTACACAGAAACTTCCAGAATGATATGCATTCAACATAGTAAAGCTCCTGATATAGGGGCTAAAACACCATGTTCTGTTGGCTATACACTCATCTAATAAACACGTTGTAACGCTAATTAGTAGGCTTGCATGCTAAGCTAATAGAGGGAGCTAAACAGTCACACCTCTGTCCTGGAAGTGAGCAGCAAGCAGCAGCTTTGTTGACCCGTCAGAGGGACAATAAGGGAAGGGGGGCAAGTTTGTCTGTTTGACACCATCACCAGCTTTCATGTCTGCACAGCAAAACGCTTCTGGAGATTGGTATCACAATATATATAGCCTCCGGCCAGGGGACTCCATGTTTTTGCCTCGCCGTGAGCTTTTTAACCCTTCAGGGCGACCTTATTCTTACCTTGCCTATTTACATGCTTACATGTCTGGGAGCTGTCAAAAAAGAGGATTTGGGGGACAAACAAGCAGCAACTTTTCCATGCAGAAGTGAGCTTGTGACGAAAGGCAGCGGTGACAAGTTTAGTTTAAAACTTTGTTGGGATGTGCTGGAGGTGAAGAGGAAGTGGAGTGGGAGAAAATGAGAATAAAATAAACAACATTCAGCGTTTTGTGTCAAACTGGAGTTTCTATTTTCCTTTTTAAGCCTCGTTTTCCCCCCTGCCTCTCTAGTTGTAGCAGCAAATATGGCACCCATAACAACATACGGGTGCAATAACAAGGAGTGTAAAGCGGTTTAAGGTGTCTCACTTTTATTTTTTTTAATCTGGACTATGTTTCAATTTTGTATGCGCGCCCCCGTGTCCTCCTCGCTGGTTCTCTCACTGTACCACATATTGGACCCGGAGAAGCAGATATGGGGAACCACAAACTGCGGACTTCTTCCATTGCCCTTTTCTGCCAAATGTCACTGCTTTGTAAGTGTGTTTTGTATTTGGTTTGCGCGCTCCCGAGCCAGTTTTCTTTACTGTACCTGGCGCGGCTGGTGTTGCAGTTTCCCTTGGCGCCGCCGGCGAGTTTATGTCGCTTGCGTCTGGGTCTCCTTCGTCGTCTTCTTCATCAAAATCTCCTCCCTCGGAATTAACCACCATGCCCTCGTCTTCCTCACAGGACCGGAGAGGAGAGGACATTATATCCCTGTCATTGGTTGCGTCCTCAAAAAAAGCGTTTTCTTGCCCCCGAATGTGTGATATTTATTTAATATTCAAATCGGCAAAAAAGTAGGGGGGCGTTTTGAAATATTTTACACCAGAGCAGAGCAACAAAGATGGCCGCCTCTCTTATATTTATTTTTTAACAACCCCCCCAATAAGAAAAAAATCCCCTTACATAAAAAATGGCTGACTATATTATTTCAGAACGCACCCCCCTCCTCCTTTCTCTCTCACTCTCTCTTTCTCCCTCTGCGCGCCCCCTCCCTCCTTAAAAACGTACACATTGTTACAAGAGAAATGGGTGTGTGGCTGCATGTAAGTTACATTGTTTCTTGTTTGTGTTATTGCTGTTCCCCCCCCCCCCCTTCCCTCTTTCCTATTTTTCTCCAAGTCCGGATCAGTCACGAATCCGACACACTTGCCTGGTGTCACTGTCAAGATCACAAGCACCACTATGTCTCCCTGCATTGCAGAGCCCGACACTAATCTATCAAATATGGCCACCTTATATTCACCGGAGCCCCCACCGTTGTATAACATTTATTTTGGAGCAGGGGGTGTGTAGGGGTGTGTGTGTGTGTGTGTGTGTGTGTGTGTGTGTGTGTGTGTGTGTGTGTGTGTGTGTGTGTGTGTGTGTGTGTGTGTGCTGGGGAGGGATTGAGAGGGGGGTTGGGAAAATCTGCCGCAGCCATGCCCAGACTTACATCATATTGTATTGCTTAAAAATTAACTACTTGTGGTGGGGATGGAAACAATTCACATTATGCAAACTGCAGCCCCCCCTTTATCAAGCATTATAATAACCAGCTCATGTCCATTCTCCATGTCTGATACAGTGGTTTGAAAGCAACACGAGAGATTTAGTGAACTCTTACTGTAAAATGTGGAAGGCAGCATGCAGCTGGATGGCAATGAGGCCATGGGAATCCCTCAACCCCAGCCAGCCATCAGCGGCTGCTCGGGGCACTATTGTTTTGACAAAATACATTTTGATTCGCCTTTCACATTTAAAACCTCGCAACCGAAAATCAAGGTCATGCTGGAGAAAGTGTGCCAGATAAAATAGGGAAAATGAACTGAATAGGCCTTGATTTCATTGTGTTTGACTCATTTAATGCAATTATTCTCAGAATAAACGACTGAATGTGCTTCCTTAAAGCAGAACAGGTCCTTTATTACTTATACGAGGCCTTAAATCACATGAATCACATACATATCTCAGCACTTTAGGCAATTTTTTTGTTAATTCTTAGTTAATTCTTGACCTTGGATAACAAAAAATCCTAACAAAACATCAACTTATGAGTAGCTTCAGATTCTGTAACAGCATTAAAAGCACACCAGGAGATTAGTCTGAAAAAGCTAGTAATGGGACCTTGGTTTAATAATGTTAATGTTGAATAGCCTTTTTTAACTAAGACAATTTGACATGTCACAGTAGGGAATACAATATCAAATGAATAAATGACGGGATGATTTCATTATGCTGCTTCAGTTTCAGGGTCATGATGATGTGCACACCCCTCACTGTCACACTGTCATGGGACACTTGTTCATGATATTGTTAACACCTGTGCTGTCAAGAAGCAGCAGCCAGGGATCCATTCAGTGTCTCCATAAAACAGAAAATCTTAAATTATTGATAATAATTCACACATTTAAAGTGAAACATCTACGGTCATTCAGAGGGTAATTGTCTGTCACTGCATACAAATTATGGCTGTTATATTATGTTATTAAAAATGTAGAATCCTTTGCAACTATATTAAAGTCTTTTTTAACGTATAACTTACAATACATGTGTAGGCCTACTACATAGCATGTTCATAATGTTACTCTATAAATCAATGATCAGGTCATTAGACGCAGCTGGCCGTACTTAACGAGTGACTAAACGTGCCTTAACTTAATTAAAAATGTAACTTCTGTTCTGTGTTTAAATGTTTTACATATTTATGCACTTTTAATGCTTTTGCAAGCTGGCACTACTTTAGTGTTGAATAAAACATTAATGAAACCCTTAAATGAAACCATTCAACACCCAAATAACGCGTAAAATAACTCAACTGCTAAATTTGTACCCATAATTAAAATATGCAAATGTGTTTTAATGTCAGGAGTGAGAGTGTCATTACTTTAATTTCTACTTTTAATTAAAAAAATAAAATAGGTTTTCTGCATTTTCAGCATAATACAGAAACTAAATCCACCACAATAATGTGTAAAGCGTCGTTTTTTGTTTTTAAATCCTCCGAATTCGGTTTGTATGTAACTGTCTTGGCATTTCACACCAAAAACTGGATATCATGTAAACAAGCATTTTAATGACTCTCGTTAATGCTCTGCTGAGCACACTTCACTGTCTGCAACAGGTGGCTGAACCGCTCCTACAGATGACAAGGGAGGAATTTGTTAGAGTCTGATCCAAGTGCTACATCTGCCAAGTGAGACACGGAGCAATGCAAGACATCACATTGGGTGACTGGTGATATGTGTATATTTCTGTGGGGATGTGATGTGTACTTGTAGCCCTGACTTTGCATTAAAAAAAGAGTACAAATCCCCAAGACTCTCTCATATGCTGCAGGCCCTGACACACTGCACTACTGTGCTGTGGCCACCCCGCCACCCCACCCCTCCCCATGTCCATTTGGCAGGGAGACATGCCGAGGATGAGAGGGGAAAGCGCCTCCCCTGGGAGCGGCGCTGTAGCTAACCCAGATTTTATGCAGTGTGACACACAGAGGAAGACACAGGCTCCTGAGCTCCATTCAGAGCTGAGCTGTGAACTGAGGCGACCCGGAGAGCAGATAATGCTTTGATAACGGGTTGGCAGCGGGGGCTGGGGAGGGAAGAAGATGGCTTTACATATCCCAAGGTAGAGCTTTAAGTGAAAGTATGGTCTATTCTCTTTGGGTTTAGTCTTGAATGAGCACTTAATAAATTATAATGACGATTTATTTTGCCCAATGAGATTAGTCTGAGCGAGGGTGGCAAAAGTAGTCGGGAAAGAAGCCTATAGTGAACTTCTCTCAATTAGCATATTCATCTTTGATTAATAGCCCAACATTCGGTAATGTGAGGTTACAGTGAATTTGACCTTCGGCCCCAAATTATAATCAGTTCATTTATCAAAAACGTGAGGATGTTTTAATCTGAAGAAATGACCTCCGGCATTCCTGAGATATAATGCTAAGAAGGATGGTACGGATTGGAGGTCAATGTGTCCTTGACCCTCAACATCTAATCAGTTCATCTTCGAGTCCATGGGGCCATGTGTGCTTGATTTGAAGAAAATCCCTAAAGGCGATGGGATGGACAGATGTACGAGGAGATATGTCTCAAGATAAGGGTTGTGAAAGTAATCTCAGGAAACTAAAACATTCTGCTTCACAATAATCTTGTATCACTTTGTTTGAACGGGTCATTAAAAGCAGACCTCGGACAATTGATGACAAGTAAAGATTGCTTCGTGTCAATGGGTCATGAGCTAAAGATTTGATGTTGGATGATTACTGTGTGTCATGTAGCTTTTCACACAGTGAGTCAATGGATCCCTGTTGGTCAGAGCCTGTATAGGGAAACAATGTGTCATAAATACATGGGTGAATCAGGAGTTAAGCTAACACATATTCATTGATTGATTATTTTGTCCTATTGATAATAATTTGTGTATACGATAATGACTTGTATCTGCATACAAATGTCCTCAGGAGAAACACAGGATTTATTTGGATTTGCTCTTCATCCAGAAACAGTTATATTTGAAATCATTATGTTTAGTCACACAAACAAAAATAACAGCTCCACATTTTACAGACCATAACATATTGTTTTATTTGAATGGTTTTATCATTGAAAGGTATGTCTTTCAAATCAAACCAGATGTGTGTTCTCAATGTAATTTGACTTGCTTAATTCTAGACCATTATCATTGTACTTCACACCCATTGTGTGTGTTGTAATCCAAGCTTCAAGCTTTAAAATTAGGTTTGTAGTTACTTAATTAACTAGCTGACTTGAATAAAACAAGTAATACAAAAAGGCATTTTTAAACCAGCAGTTTAAAGTTGAATAGAAACAGACACACTTTCAGTCACAGACAAATACCTACTACATGACATATATTTGGCTCAAATGTGACCAAATAGCCAACAGTCTTGCTTCAAAATACTATGATCTCCCAGTAATTACAGCAGACTTGGCGTCACTTCCAAACATTAGTTCAAAAGGAGACAAATTGGTCTAATTATAGCTAACGATCAGGTGTGGAAATGTATCAACTTTAGCAATGAATTCTTACATTTAGAGCTCCTTTTCGTTGTTTGTTGCCTCTTCTTCCAACTTTAATAAACTACGGATGTAATGGCTCACTTAATTTTACATTTGACTGCTAAACTGGAATGTTTTATAATGTTTTACTCCATCACTTGTTTGATGGTGATGTCCCCTTTAAGAAGAAAACACCGGATATTCAGCTTCCGGTTTGGCTGGTCCGTCAGAGAAATCACTCCGTAAACAAAGAAGAAGAGATTATGGCAACAATGATTGAGGAAAACGGTCCTTCGACTCATGTATGTGTTTTTTATTTCTGTTTTTCATTTAGTATTTGACATGATTGTTCACGCTGTTTGACGTGTCGAAGAGAAAACTATTTTTTTTAAACACATTGAATGATAATCAAGACTTCAGCTGCAGCTAAAGTTAGCCGGTAGCTAACGAATAAACTAGCTGTCAGCTGTTAAAACGATGTAACATTAGCCTATAGCAGATTATATTTAGATACATAACACTACATTTAGCATATAATATCTATCTAAAATGCCAAAGCCGTTATGCAGTTCCCTGAGTGCATTTACTAGTAAACGATTAACTGTAAACACCACATTAGATTTTTACAAGTTGACATAACAATAAAACATGTTTGTTTAACAGCTAACTAATACAAGAATACGCAGATTATTCCACCATTAGATCCAGTGTTAGTTAAGTCTCTAACCTTTCCACTCTCACCCAGGAGCAGTATCAGGTGTCCCCTTCGTACCAGGCCCGGCAGAAACTAGAGGGGCTCCTGAACAAGAACATGAAGATCCGGATGACGGACGGCCGGACTCTGGTCGGGCTCTTCCTCTGCACGGACCGAGACTGCAACGTGATCCTCGGATCTGCTCAGGAGTTCCTCAAATCCTCAGGTAGGTGAACACTGATCAACACATTAACA